AAACCTGTGCTACAGGCTATGCACATAATGACAGTTGTAAAAAGTTTAGGTTAATGCTGCTGTCCTAGCAAAATTTCCTTCATTGCACTCTGCATTGCATTGTCCTTCATCAATAGCTCAATCAGGTTGCAGATAAAGAAAATGAATGGAGTTTTACCTCCTACTTTTCTGCACCATGTGAGGTTGCAGATATGAGGCAAAACTCTATTTCTTTTCATTTCATTTCAATCTAATGGGTTTACTTAGTTTGACCTCCACCAAATCCTAATCTTTTGAAAACAGTGGTTTATGATTGACAGTTACTAAAATATTCATTACAGTCAATAAATATATTGATCATCACTAATGGAGTTTGGAAATTTATGTAGACATCTCAGATTTATATGGTTACAGATAAATATCATCTTTGACCCTCGTTTTCACCGGTTTCATGTCACATTATCTATTAAAGAGACAGCCTGCTTAGTTTAGAAGGTTGGAAAATATATGTGCTTGAATTAAAGCTATTGTTAAGAGGTATTCTAAATTTATTATGTGTATCGGGGACAATGATATCATCATTTTGCATTATTCCGATTTTCAATCAGACGTCTGTGGTTCCAGTAATTTCACTTTAGCTAAGCTAGTTTGATGATTTCACTAATCGTGAAATGTGCTTGCATCACGTAAGGAATTTGAGATAGTGACGTCAATTGCAGGGACCACAGATGTCTGATCTAAAATTCGAATGGTGCAAATTGATGATTCAGTGTTCCCTATACACATAAGTAATTTTAGAAAACCTCTATACAATCCCTTTAATGAAGTGAATTATAAGGACCTTAATGACTTGGAAAAATACCAGTTTGTCTCACATGTCCATAATTAATTCATAATTAGCTAAATTAGAAGAGAATTACCAGCAGAATTCCAACGAGTGACGGTTCAAGAAAGGTCAAAAAGTCTGTTTTGTTTATCCAGACTGTACATTCATGGACATTTATGATTGGTTGAAACTTAATTATATGCACTAAAATTTACAGAATCCCATTTGAATCAGATTTAAAACGTAATCAAACTAATAGATCAAAATAATACCTGATTATTGGAAAGACATATTTTAGATTCACTCAAAATATAGGCAAATGTATTGAAATACATTTCAATATTACAATTATTTAAGACAACAATCTGCACCTAATGTTAGGTGGTGATTAGATCATAAAAGCACTGACCTGGAAATATAATAGAGAAAATTGTGTTTGAAAATTTTCTTTGATAAAGGGAGATAAATCCTGTATCTTTGTTGACTTTTTGTGTTTACTTTGAAACGAACTATAATTATATTTGAATTAGCATCTCTTTCCATAGTAAATCACTTAATTACCTTTTTCTAGAAACATTTTCATTTTTCCAACAACTCATTATATACGCTCACTTGGAAATGTGGATGTATATTGCTTTCGCCCCTGTCCATTGTCAATCAAGTTGTTGTAAACTGAAATGTTTTTGAGGTTTTGTCTCGACTTAAAATATTTTTGAAAATTCATTATAAAGTCACAAAGGACTTTGTTATCATTTCTGATAGCTGGTAGTGGGCGTATGTTACTGTGCCTGGAAAGCTATCGTTTGGTTTGTGGTAATGAATTTCAAAGTAAAGAAATAAGTTTATTAAGATGATATCATCATAGCAGTTACATTGCATTTTGGTATATATGGAATTAAGGATGTTTCTGATCTCAGTTATTTGTACATAGGATGATTCAAAAACTGTATATTAACAGCAATGTTCAAGCGTGCATGTAATGCAGTCATCAGAATTGTGAGAGGTTCAATGGTTCTATTTTACACAAATCCATGTGATATTTATGTTGTTTTATTACCCAGTCTAAAATATTTATTGACATAACTCACTATGAAAACAGACTAGTAGTAAAGCTTATATCACATTTCAATATATATGTCACATCTAAATATCCCCACTAGTCAAATACTGTTGGCACATACCACACATTATATGGCATACATGTACCACCATTGCAAACTCCTGATTGGACGTAGAACTGAACACAGTACTGTCATCTTTACAGTCAACTAAATTTCATTTGGGTTACAGTACAGTCTTTACCTCCTGTGGTGGATTTATATAGTACTTTTTGTTTAGTACTTTCACGTGGCTATACTAGTTTACTATGTAGAAATGATGTATCATATAAACTAGTATATACCTATATATATTTACATGTATAACCTATAGCTATGCATGACTTAATTTAAAGTAAAAACCTGAATGTGATTTTGTGATTCAAGGAAACAAGTGTGTATAAGGATAACCATATGTACTGGTTTGTGAATTCAAGGAATTTTGTCAGTTTGACCTGATCAAATGTATTTTGGAATATTTAGTGGATTTGAATAGCTTCAAAATGGTGAATTGAAAATTTGGAGAATATTTCGGGGTTTTTTCATATGAGGTTTTGATATATGTACATGTATATTGAACACTGTCAGGTTGTTTCAAGTTAGATTTGTATATTGAACACTGTCAGGTTGTTTCAAGTTAGATTTGTATATTGAACACTGTCAGGTTGTTTCAAGTCAGATTTTGATATTGAACAATGTCAGGTTGTGTCAAGTGAGATTTTGATATTGATTCAAGTCAGATTTTGATATTGAACAAAGTCAGATTGATTCAAGTGAGATTTTGATATTGAACAATGTCATGTTGTTTCAAGTAAGATTTTGATATTGAACAAAGTCAGATTGATTCAAGTGACATTTTGATATTGATTCAAGTCAGATTTTGATATTGAACAAAGTCAGATTGATTCAAGTGAGATTTTGATATTGAACAATGTCATGTTGTTTCAAGTAAGATTTTGATATTGAACAATGTCAGATTGATTCAAGTGAGATTTTGATATTGAACAATGTCAGATTGTTTCAAGTGAGATTTTGATGTCATGTAAAACACTGTCAGGTTGTTTCAAGTGAGGTGTTTATATATAATATATGTTGAAAGATGCTTGGTTGTTTTAAGTTAGAATTTGATATACCTTCATATTGATGTCAGGTTGTTTCAAGTGAGATTTTGATATACATGTATATTGAACAATGTGAGGTTGTTTCAAGTGAGATTTTGATATACCTGTATATTAATGGCAGGGTGTTTCAGTGTTGATGAATTCATCTATATGTTAAACACTGTCAGGTTGTTTCTAGTGAGATTTTGATATTCAGGTTGTTTCAAGTGAGATTTTGATAAAACCTGTATTGAACAATGTCAGGTTGTTTTAATTGAGATTTTGATGTAAGTTACTATATGTTGAACAATGTCAGGTTGTTTCAAATATGAATTTGATATATATTTATATATGTTGAGCAATGTATTAACTATAATAATGTTTCAATTAAATGGTAGAGGACAGGAAAGTCAGATCTTAATTCTGAAAAGTGATAAATATTGCTGAATTTACACTCTGTTGTCTGATAAAGTGAATATTAGGATGTCTATGACTTTGTTAATATAATATAATAATTGAATGTTAATTGTCTTAAACTGCACAATATTGATATTGTCATTGCAAGACATCACCTGGGCTGCTGTAGGCAATTCTGCTGACATCACATACTGCTAGGTTGTCCCCATTCCATTTCCTTGATCATGTTGGTTGCCATCTTCCCAATGTCAAGTTATTACAATCTTTGTACTTATACATTGACAGAAATAGCCATTCCCTGTTTTGTATCACTGATTACAGCAATTTGATTGTATTGTACATTAGCGAATACAGTCAATCAGAGCAATAGAAAGGCTGTAAGCATTAAGGTTTTCTGTTGAGAACTGTATTTGCTTTAATCCAATCGCTGCATTTACATACTTGCATTCACCATAATACAAGAATGATGGCTATTGCAGTCAAGGTATAAGTATGAAGTTCATAATAGCTTGACATTGTGAAGATGGCGGGGTGACAATGACATTAATGTTATTAATGTTGATTATTGTTTGAATAATGTTGATAATTTCTCATGTTATTCATGGCCGTAAGAGTAAATAGATCAATGCATATTAATGAAGGTTATAATTAGTTAATTAGAGAACACTAATTAATATTGTAAGATTAATGAGGAAATTGCATGATTTGTATTCAATTAAGTAGTTTGTGAGTAATTATATGTTGAATTTTTTTTCGCCTAATATTTAGGAATTAATGCCTCAAGTAAATTAGATTTCTTTGAGAATTGCTCACAATTTGACATTGAAAGGGGCAGATGCGCCATTTCCAGTGGTTGATTTGGGTCGTGAATATTAATAAATAGCCTTCAGAAGTACTAGAAATGTACGAAAATGGCATTAATTCCTTTAAAAATACTTCAAACTAGGAATTTTACTCACTATTTCTATGAGCTTATATGTCTTTGCTATATATCACAGAGTATCTTAAATTGACAGGTGGATGTAAAATACAAAAAAAACCCAATTTAGACCAGTGGTTATCACCTCTTTCAGGATCCTTGATGGTTTGCATCACCCCCCTTCCCCCTCTAAATCCTGATTTTTCTCTTCAGTTTACCCTGTAATCTCTTTCATGTTCAAGAATATAGTCTTGATTGATTAGAACACTTATTTACGCCAGATGGCATCTCATCAACGTAAAGCAAAACCAAAATTTTCACATTAAAAGGGATTGTAAAGAGGTTTTCAAAATTGTTTATGTGACACTGATTGCACCAATTTGCACCAATCCAATTTTCAGACAGACATCTGTGGTTCCTGCAATTTCATAAAAAATAAGTGTTGCAGGAACCACAGATGTCAGATTGAAAATTGGAATGGTGCAAATTGATGATTCCCTATACACATAAAAAAATGAGAAAACCTCTTTACAATCCCTTTAAAATTACAGAATTATACTAACAAAATGGATGACAAACAAAGATTTAAATTTTGGCCAGGTTTAAGAATGAAAACCTGAAACACACTGAAAAATCTTGAATTGTTTAGTTAGGTAACTTACTGGACTTTGTTGACACATATTGTTTAGATTTATTATTTGACTTCCTTTCCACACTGTCAAAACCTGTATGTATACAATAGCTTTTTTCAATTCATGGTGGACAAACTGCTATTTTAGGTTGTATTTGTAATGAAAGTACCTAGTTAAATGACTTCTTATAACGAATATTTTAGCCAGGATTGTTCTTTTACCAGTTGTATTTACCTGCCACGTCTGAGTTTCATTTCTTAATGACTGTTGATATTTTCTCGCTGAGGTTTGGCCCTTTGACAAGAAAATTTCTGCTACGTTTTGATTCTGGTATGATGGTACTATAGTGATACCTTTGGGATTTTTCATCCTAGTTTCTTTCTGTTTGTGATGCAGATTTGAGGGGCTTACATGTAAAAAGCATCTTAACTCTTTGCTTCAAACCTTGATGCTGCTTGTCTGGAAGGAGAACTTGCAAATTTTCTAATAAAGTTTGCTGATTTGTAATTGAATATTAAAGTCTTGGACAAGTTTAGTTGCATTCGGTAAAGTTCCAATTGTAAAAATCAATGAAACCGGTCAGACATGACTGGCAAATACATCATTACAGCCTTGATTTTAGTTATTAATATTGATGAAGTAACAAAGCAAAAACTTTGCTCTATAAGCATCCATAATCCACACATAAAAATGTTTGAAAACCTTTTAAATCTGGCGCTACACCAGTAATTAAATCTACACTAAGCCCAGCAGTTATATTACAGTATTAATAGGATTGCTTGTAGACTTGCCTTGTATGTGGCACTCCATTGGAAATACAATTAATTCCTGCTGGTCAAATTAATACTGAAATTATTAGATTATATGGTCAGTGTACAAACTAACAGATGATGCTTGAATCTGTAATCAGTAGTCTTATTACTATGACTATCTGCAAGTGCTAGGATCTTTGATTGGAATTCAGAGATGTGTTTGGATAAGGCACATTTTTGTCTAAATGTGGTCTCATGACAGTGATTTGTGCTCAAAGCTAGAAATTGTGTTTAGTATGTGTTTTATCTTTTATCTGTTGAGTTTTATATGTACTTGGACAATGATGTATTAAGGGCTATAATGATGATGATGGTGGTGGTGGGTTCTATACTTGATTTACATGTGAAATCAGTAATCTTATTGCTATTTCCAGTGTAAGGAGAGTTTGATTAGATCTCAGAAATGTGTTTGAATAAGGATCTTTTATGCCTAAAAGTGGTCTCTTGTCAGTGATTCAGTACCGAATCCAACTCACAATTCAGTAGTAGGAATTTTAGGTTGTAACATTGTGGTTAAGTAATCTTACGAAAGCACAGGCACAGGCATGTAGGCTTAACCTGTAGTGAGAGAGAATTGTTTGTGGGTTTAGTTTGAATAATAATAAAAAATATTTGAAATGAAAATCCATAATCTTCCGAATCTGAAATATATAAGAAATTACCACAGGAACATTAATAACCATTGAAACCTTAAACATTTTTTACTAGTGGAAGTGAGAAAATTTGCCACATGAGAATTGCAAAAATTATGCCCGCTATTCTTATTTGCAGTCATATGCAATTAGTCATCACTATGGTGTGATCAAAAAACATTTGAATTAAACCAAGGAATCACAGATTTCTCTGCATAGTTCATGTTTGAATTGTAATTGCATGGTCTAGAATGTTTAAAACCAATTTATTGTATAATTATATCACATGGTCAGTGAAACTTGATTAGTAAAATAATTACAAAGTCAGATAACTTGTTCTACTTGGTACCATTCATCTTGGTTTCATCTTATCGCTCTTTAAATTGGTTTGAAGCAGTTTATAAAAGTTCTATCTTGAACTTCTTTTAAAGGAATGATAGTCAGTAAGGAATTACAATGGCATAATACAAAATATAACAGTTTGCTTTGCCCAAAATAAATGTAGAAATCAAAATAAGAATACAACAATTTGGTTTAAATTCTTGGTTTGAAGGACAATTTTCTAGAAATTTCAGTAGGATAAGGTGAACAGCTATTGCTACTGGCTTATTAAAGATGGGTACCCTTATTTTCATTTATGAAAATGAAAATTGCTAATACTTATATGAATAGAAAGTAGGGTGTTCTAATGACTTGGAAAAATACCAGTTTGTCTCACTTAAAAAATTCATGATTGATCACTAAATTAGAAGAGAATTACCAGCAGAATTCCAATGTGTGACCGATCAAGAAAGGCAAAAAGTATTTTTTTGTTTATCCAGACTGTACATACATGGACATTATGATTGGGTTAAACTCTGATTATACGCAATAAGAAGATAATGATATGATTAAGAATACATGATAATTCATCAAGAACACCAATGAATCAAATAGTTTGCTTAATTTGACACTAAAAAAACAAGGACACCCACCTTTAATTGTCCTGAGTATCACTTCACAAGGAAAGTTATCACAGGAGCTTTAATTGAACTTGACTGCTTTAATGAAATCTCTGAAACTATCTTTAAATTTGTTAATAGTTGATTTCAGCTTTGATTAAAGAATAAAGCAATAAAAATCAGCCATTAAATGGATATTTGTCTTTATTGGGTATTCTAATACTGGTATACGGACTACACCCAGGTCATATTTTATGGTTGGTTTCAAGGTATTTGTATATATACTTTCACTACTGTCTTCCTACTCAAAGAATAAATTTGCAGTGATGACAATATAAACAAAGAGTATATCTTATCATTTTGAACATAGTTTAATAATCTGCATGCAAAAGCCAATAGGAAGGGAGTGTGTTTAATTTTCTTACAAAACTATATTTTTATCAATGCAAGGGCAATATAAGACAAGCATAAAGCTTACTATTTTGAAAATGATACTCAAATTCACCAAGCTATATTGTTAAATATCTCAATTTACTGACAAAATTACACAGACAGTATTTGCTAGGTTAGTTTAAGGGGTTGTAAAGAGGGTTACTACATTTTGTATGTGTATCAGGGACACTGATAGCATCAATTTGTGCGATTCCAATTTTCAATTAGACATCTGTGGTTCTAGCAATTCTATTAAAACGAAGTGTTTTATGACGTCACTCTCATTAAGGTCTTATTACAAGCAAATTTTGCAGGATGATGTCGGAAAACAGATTAAGTGGTATTGCAGGAACCACAGACGTTGGATTGGCAATTGGAATGGTGCAAATTGATGATATCAGTGTACCTGATAAACATAAAAAATTTAGAAAACCTTTTTACTATCCCTTTAACAGAGCTCAATTTCAGAGTATTAGCTGAAACATTTCTGACTATACTTTGTATGTAATTGTACAGGAACTTCTTTTCTTTCTGAAAAGGGAAAGAGTTAGCTGATATAAAATGAATTAAGATGAATATATCTTTTAAAGTTTTCGAGTTATCTATATAAGTGATAGAGGTATATAAAATATGTACTTAGTCACACTTTGATTATGATCTTAGAGTTGATCAAGTTGACATTCTTAAGTGTAGAGTGATAAAGTGTTAGTGTTTGTATATTGTCATAGGTTTTGATGTAGAGGACTAGTGAATTATTCCGGTGCTATGGATATCGTAATATTGTGTTTTATATGGAGATTAAACTCGACTGGATAGTGACAAATATTGTGATTACGGATTTAATACTGAATCCCACAGAAAAGAAAAAAACAAAATATATATATCTTAAAATAAAACAACATGTTTCAGGTTCTGTTTTGTTATTTCTGTATCTAAAGTTGTATTTTTGAGAATTTTCCATTACAATATTACTGTGGCGAATTTATGTGTGTTCATCCTTCTGAAACACCTGATACCACTCTGTTACTGGTTTTTTCAACCAAGCATCCCTTTTCAAAGAGTCTACATGTTCACTCTAAATCATTTATTATGATACTGTAGTTGTAGTGTCTTGTATGGATTTTAAATGATAGTTTCATAGGTTTCTACTATTGTCATGTTAAGAATTATTATTTTTGAAAGTTGGAAATGAAATGAAATGAAATGAATGGAGTTTTACGTCCTACTTTTCTGCACCATGTGGGCTAATGAAGATGGGCAACGCCATGCAGGGTGCGATGAGGGAAATTATGCCAGGACAGTGGCGTTAGCCTGCTCTTTTTCGATTTCCAACTGTCGAGGGATCTTTAACTTGCACAGCCTGTAGCACACAGGGCCTTGCTTTATTGTCACATCCAAACGACTAGACGCTTTTTCCATGTCAACCCTTCTTACCTGCATCACTGACAGGGGGAAACCGGGTTGAAAAATCCGAAGGTATTATCTCGACTTATGCCAGGATTGAACCCTGGACCTTCAGGTTAGAGAGCAAGCGTCTAACTCACTGAGTCACCGGGGCTCCTTTGAAAGTTAGATTACGAATTTGGAGTAATTGACCAGTAATTTGATGGGTATACATTATTTTAGACCTTGTGGTCTACTGCAATGCTATAATCTGTCATAATAATGGATTTTGGTGGTTTGATTTATTGATATAATAGTTATATAATGCATTATAATATGAACATGAGTAAATCCTCCATTGTTGTATATAATATAGACTTATATAGATAAAATTATGATTTAAACCTTATCTAAATGATAAAACTGAAACATAACATGTGGACTCTCAATGATCTTTAATGGCGTAAAGAGCTCATTATTTTGGCAATAGGTTTTTTTAATGCCAAAAAAGTGTTTAGTTGTGGTTTGGTTAGAAATTTATTATTCTTGTTCAGTTGTGGTTAATGCTCTGGGATGGACATTTGAAGTTCATAAAAAAGTGTTCAAGATATTTAAGTGTTTTAGATACACTTCAAGTGCATTAATGAGGTTTTTCCTGACTTATTTAACAGTGAATACCATTGTTATTTTAATACAGCATAATTCAAAATAAATGTTTATGGATTATTGTTTTGATATAAGATTCCAAGTGCCTTAAGAATGGAACTGGGACTCATCTATATGACATACTTCATTATTTTTAATTAATGACATACCTATTGGATAGTATAATCTGAATGAAACAATGTTATGGAAATATATAGGCAACTTTTACAATGACCTTTGTTCAGTGCTTTCGAGATAATACAACAGTTTCTGTGTTAAAATAGACAGGAACACCCAGACCAGATATTTTCAAACTTTTCATTAGTGATATTGAATGTCAAGCTAATGAAATGGATGCCATTAAAGTGGCCAAGGATTATTTTCTGAGTAGTCAAAGTGCTTTACTTATTCCTAATAGGGAGTATGGTACTAGAAAGTTGATTAATGTTGGTTTAAATAGACAATCCAGTGAAAGCAAGTTAGGAAGTGGTCTGAAATCACCTACAGGCATGAAATCGGGTAAGTTATCTTTTGTTATTTTATCTTCTTGTATAAATGTTATATATACTATTGTGATATAAGGCTGAAGTCAGGTTCAAGCAGAAGTCATTCCAGTATGTTTCCTGTTTAAGCAACAGCTTATTGGTGTGAGGGAGTACGTTAGATTTTGAAAAGTTGAAAATTAAAGATGTTTGAAAAAAGTCACAATAAGAAATGCTCGTAGGTGCAGGTAAAGAAAGAGGCAATGTTCTCTTCACAAGGAAGTTTCGCCCTTTTTGATTGTTTTTTTTCCTCAATGATAGTTAAATCTGTGTCACTTGGCAGATATAAAACCTGACATACTGTTCACCTATAATTCAAGACAAATGTACAAGCAATTAGAATGATTTTACTGACCTTGATGTGATCAAGAAAACCCCAAAATTTAACCTTAAGGTATAGATAACTAGAGCTGAGTAAAATGAACGAAATAATCGATTATCGTCACTAGGAATTTATAATTTATATGTCAAAATGATATTTTAACACAGTTCGAATATTATTGCCTAAATTAGTTTTGATCACTGATGAATTTGTACTAAAAAAAAAAGAAAGAAAGAAACAACTATATTTTACAAGGATAACAACTTAGGTTCACAGTTAAGGATCCTTTCTACCAGCTGTTCCTTGGCCAAACCTCTTGGCATTGATCTTTCCTGGATCTTTCATACCCATTTACAGCTGGGTCGACTGGAATTATGAGTGAAGATGACTTATTCAAGATCAGTCATTACAAAGCAAATGACGTCCTGTAAAGAACCAACGCTCTAACCAACTGTGCTATAGAAATCAAAATATAAATATATTCATCAAATCCATCAGTGTTGACTATACAGATACTTGATGATGATGATTATATAAAGTATTTGTCCAGAGGGCAAGATAGTAAACTTGTTTTTTATTGGGTTGTACTCAAAATCTAGACTTATTTCGCCCTACAGAATGTATTCTTTAGATTCAGAATATTCACACACTATTGTTAACCTTGAATTTTAAACTTGCAATTTGTGTACTGATTTGCTTGGTAAAATTTGAAGTATATATATCATAAAATCTAAAAATTTGCATGAAAATATTTTGAAATAGACTGTTTTTGTTAAAATTTATGAAGAAATAACATATGAAAACACGGACCACTCCCACTATTTATATATATGTAATAACTTAAAGGGATTGTTAAGAGGTTTTTTCAAATTTTATCATGGAAAGTGTATAGGAGAGACTATTAGTATCAATTTGCACCATTTCATTTTTTCAGACGTTAAAGATCCCTTGACAGTTGGAAATCGAAAAAAGAATAGGTAAATGCTGCTGTCCTGGAAAAATTATCCTCATTGTACACTGCATGGCATAAAACTCCATTCATTTCATTTCCTTTTTTTATACAAATTTCATCTTTGAACTATTTTGTAGGAAGTAAACAATGGGTACATCCACAAGAAGCTTTATCAAGAGGTCATATATTATATAATGTCAAGGTACAGTATTTATCATATACTGTTATAATGACTGTTATCATATTAACAATAAAACTCAATAACAGTTGTGAAATTAAAAATGGACAAAATTAATATATATAGACTCTAAGAGTGAGTGGATTTTAAGCAACTGATGGCATCAGAGAAATCTGGTAAATTATTGGATTTTTCCTGAAGAAAAAAATCAGAAAAATGCTGTTGTCACAAATTGCCATCTCAGGAGCCCAGATGATATAAAATGCTTTCTGTTTCATTGTTGATCTGGCTGTATGATTTATATTATAGTTTCTGGGAGAGTGTAGTGTTGATACACCTAAAGGTACAGAGGTGGTGAAAGATGCCATTAGAAAGATGAAGGTAACTATTATTATGAATTGAAACCTTTTCTCTTTGCATCGTTTACTGTACATGATATTGCAATATAACAAAAAACAAAAAATCACAAGTGCAAATACTACAGATAATAATACTAAGTTATGTTTTGAAAATATTAAATTTCTCCCTTATTGAGGTAAACAATCAGTTCTTGCTCGTTGTTTCTCAGCATCTTTTTAGGGAACTTGGCAAAAAAATGAACTTAAGACTTGTGACCTTTCCTGATTGTATGCTGTTGCCTATCATTTTTAACTTAATATGTTAAAGTGGTTTCGGACTATTGCATTTTTGCCTCACAGTTGTTCCATGTCATCTCGAGACTTTATCCAAATTTTGTTCCTCATTTTCCAGTTTAATAAACATATAAAAAGAGCAGAAGGTCAGAAACCACCAAAAGTAGAATTAACAATATCTATAGATGGTTTAACTATACAAGATAGAGTATCCAAGGTAGATAACTGCTGAAAAATCATTTCAATATATAGACCACAAATAACTTCTATTACAGTAAAAAAAAAAAAGAAAGAAATATTCATCCCCATTGCAACCATTGAAAATCAAAAACTTTTTTTTTACAATAGTTCTCAAGGCAGTTGGCAGTATTAAAGCCTCCATTCCATCAAAATTTCTCTCATTCCCTCATTGCACACTGCACAATTGTACAGGAACTTGTATGAAAAGGGAAACAAGTCAATGTTTGGTTGACTTATTTTTGATATTTTGTAAATTTCAGAGAATAATGCATCAATATCCTTTACATCGAATTTCTTACTGTGCAGACGACAAATCTGATAAAAGAATGTTTACATTTATTGCCAAGGCAGCTAACTCTACTCAGCATAATTGCTATGTTTTTGATAGTGAAAAATGTGTAAGTATATGTCTTCTTTCATATACTTAAAATATAAGTAACATATGGCACATAATAGCACATGAAGTTTGTTTCAGGATTATACTTATAAGCTACAGCCATGAATGTTTTTCAAATAGTGTAAGGTGGTTATGAGAACGCAGTCTCATAATAGCACAAGTTTTAAGCTAGCTAGCCAAAATGGTATATACATGCACTTCTGATTTGATTGAATGAAAAATTTGTGTTTGGCCATTTGTTTGCAAGGATCCTTTTAATCAGCTAGCCAAAACCTCTTGGCATTGATCTTTCTCGGATTTACAGCTGATTTGACTGAAATATTGAGGAAAGATGACATTATCCCAATGCTCTATCACAGATTTTATTACATTAGTCATTAAAAGTGTTCTAATTTGTTTATTGTTGTTATTGTTACTCATTATTGAATACTCATTATTGACTTATTCAGTCCATGGCATAAGATTTGACCTAGCCAGTAGGTATCATATGGTTTTCATATCAGTAAAGTATGTCAAACATGAGAGATAGCTTTATCAGCTAATCAGTTGTCTATTTTTTACCTGACATTTGAACTGTTTACATGTTAATAGACACTTTGTACTGATTAATGATGAACCAATATCATTAAAGAGACTGTCCCTCATAATATTTGAAATTCAATACTTTTGAAGATCTTGTTAGATTTATAACCAATAGTGACCTGGAAAAAAAAACTGGATTATGATTACTTAACTATCTTGGGATCTGTTTGAAAATAAAAAAAAAATTGATGATTAGAATTTCAAAAAATACAGGTCATATCCCTTTAAGGTAGATAATGTATATCAAATGTCCTCATTTAATGATGTTGAATAATGATTAAGACTTAGTGATGAGAAGTGCATGAATATATAGACAATAGATATAATATTTTAGCTCTTCATATTGTAGGCTGAAGAAATAACGTTGACAGTTGGTCAAGCTTTTGATCTAGCCTATAGACGTTTTTTGGACACTTCCAGTAAGGACATGGATGTTAAAAAACAGTTTCTTTTATTACAGAAAAAGGTGAGTCTTTTTGGCTGTATTTTATATAGATAGGGATCTGTTTGGCTGACCAACAGTCCAAGACAAAGTGTGTGCAGTCTAAGAGAAATATTCCAATATATTTTAATATGAATAATATATCAATAATCAAATCTTGCAGCAACAAAAAATTTATATTATATTAATTATTATGTTTAAATTAGATTTGAACAAGATTGTCTAAGATATTCAAATAAATAATGCTACAGCAGCTACTGTAACTTTTCATTATATCACAAGAATGATCCTTAGGACAGTAGGATAGCTGAATTCAAGTTTTGAGTGGACAACGAGAGATCAGTTTTGTTAAAAAAGACTTTGATGGAACTGCAGATGTGACATAAATGGTTTTGGGGGTTATGATTGTATGACTGAACTAAAAAAAAATTCCATCTTTCCGAATATATTTTGAATTTGCATTTTAAATAAATAGTTTTAAAATTCCTGCACCTCAGGAGCTGCTGAAAAATCCCCAAGAAACAAGGCCTAATATTTCTCTCCCTCATGACAAGAAAAACTTGTGATGCTGTGGTCTATCCTTTTGGCAATTTGTATATTTGTATTTTATAGGTTCAAACATTACAGAGTGAAAATGATTGTTTAAAAAAGAGAATAACCGATTTAGAAAAATTAAAAGATAGATCAGATGTAGATACATATATGAAACAGAACCAGGTAATTTTCTCTTTGTATTGTATTTCAGTTGATAAGCTAATTGTTAAAGCGAAATAAATCGAAAAATTACTATTTTATAAAAGCTTGTGTACAAAAAGGTTGCAAATTCCACTTGAAACCAAATTCTATATTCGTATTGTGCATGTCTAATTTTTTTATCTTTTTTTTTATGTATTTGTTGTAACATTTATTAAATTTATCGCATTACAATTATTGTATTAATAATTTTGGGGTTGTATTATATAATATATTTTATTAGATAACTGATCTCAGTCTAACAGATCATCATATAGATGAAAGTTCCACAGATGATGATTTATATTCCACTGTTGAGGTACTGGTTATAATAATAATGGTGCTGGTAGAATAATAATAATAGTAATAATAATAATAAAAATGATGTAGTACTAATAAGGATAATGTAGTAATGGTGGTGTTGGTAGAATAGTAATACTAGTAATACCAATAATGATAATGATGGTACATGTAGGAACAAGGATAATGTAGTATAGTGCTGTTGTTAGGAAAATAATAATATTGATACCAATAATGATAATGATGGTACATGTAGTACAAATAAGGATAATGTAGTACATGTGATGTTGGTAGAATGATAATGATAGTATTATTAATAATGATTATGATGGTACATGTAGTTCTCATGAGGATAATGTAGTACACATGCTGTTGATAGGATAATAATGAAAGTATTCTTAATAATGATAATGGTACAGGTAGTTCTCATAAGGATAATGTAGTAATAGTAATAGTGATGTTGGTAGAATAATAATGATAGTAATACTAATAATGATAATGATGGTACATGTAGTACTTGTAAAGAAAATGTTGTGGTGTTGGTAGAATAATAATGATATTGATACCAATAATGATAATGATGGTAGTACTTTAATAATGATAATGTAGTAATAGTGGTGCTGGTAGAATAATGATAATGGTAATACTAATAATGATGATGATGGTATATTTAGTACTAATCAGGATAATACAGTAATCGTGGTGTTGGTGAAAAGATAATGATATTGATACCAATATTGATAATGATGGTACATGTACATATAAGGATAATGTGGTAATAGTGATGTTGGTAGAATAATAATAAAAGTAACATTAATAATGATAACGCTGGTACATGTTGTGCTAATAAGGATGATTTAGTAATAGTGGTATTGGTATAATAATAATGGTAGTAGTAATAATGATACTGTATTAATGCTGTTGGTAGGAAAATACTAATAGTAATACTAATTACATATGATAATGATGGTACATGTAGTTCTCATAAGTATAATGTAGGAATTGTGGTGTTGGCAGAATAGTAATAATAGTAGACTAAAACCAATAATGATAATGATAGTACATATAGTAATAAGGATAATGTAGTCATAATGGTGTTGGTAGAATGATAATAATATTGATACTATTAATGATAATGATGGTACATGTAGTACTTATACAATTTAGTAATAGTGGTGTTGGTAAGAAAATAATTATAGTAATTTCAATAATGATAATGATGGTACATGTAGTGCTATTCTTAGGATAGTACTCAAACCATGAATTTCATATTTTTGAAGTAGAGGCAACAGAATGCTTAGAAACAAATTTTATTTTCTACTTTACTAATCATATTATATTTTTAAATCATATATATGCCTGTTGAAATTGACATTGAAGATTGATGTATAATTTGATCTTCAGTGAGACATTATCGATTGAATTAAAAGTCAAACACTAAATTGATTTGAAGTTCATTATTAAAGCCTAACTGAGTAAGAAACTATTGGGATTTTTTTTTTCAGAAACAGTCAACAGTTGGTCGCCGTCTGGAGAATTTATTATTAGATACATCAGAGTCTGCTCCTCATTCTAATGGTACCAGTACTAATAATATAACTAATGGTACTTCATCACCTTCTCAATCTGCTCAAGCTACTACCCCTATTTGTAAGTTCATTCTTTTATATTGGGAATTTGAAACTATTGGCATTGACTGATAAAAAAACTTAAACCTCAAGCAAGAATAGCTCAGGCTTATTGCAGCCCAAGTTCTCAGGGAGGTTGATATTTATCAAGAACAAATTTTAATAATTGTTTTAACCCGTTACATAAAAATGTCTACCATATAATTTAGGATACTTGAATATAGGACAATAATAATGCTCTAGTGCTTCATATTGAAAAATGTGCAGAGCTATATAGGATTTTTTTTTATCATATCGATATACAATGTATATGTATATGTTATATTTCAGTATCGCCTCCTCCACCATCAGGCCGAACTAGAAGTTTTATAACATCTCCTACAACACCTACATCTCAAACACTGATAGGTAGGTCTAGGATAGGTCTAATTTGACATTTGATATCCGACCACAAACACATCTGAATATCACGTCAGCAGAACTTGGTATAGTGAGATGTTGACTTCGATAGTGGCCTTTACCAAGTGACATCACATGGTAGCAATAGGCTTCAAATATGTAACTTGTAGTTCAAATTGTTTTTTTAGGGTTTTTATTTGACTCTTAGTCTTCAAAGGGTTTAAATATTTTGCCATATTTTATTTTAGGCAATTCTGGTAATCCATTTAATGAAAATCAATCTTCCGGATTTAATGGTGCTTCCAATCCTGATCCATTTGGTATGGATGCTTTTAACCCCAGATCACCAGGTGCTATAGATCAAGCTATTAAAAGTATGGATCAAGAATTAATGGACATACAGGTTTGTGGCTTTTTTATTTTGTCAAACGATATAGTCTAAAATATTTCCCATCTCAATTTCAGCTATAGAATGAAAAAAGATTTAGTTTGTCTACAATAAGTTTCTATTTTCCATGGAAATTTGTAACTTGCACTTTTTCAATTTCTTGTTCAGGTTTTCCATTAATTAATTTAGGAAATTATTATGTTTCATTGACAGAACAGTGAGTTCTTTTTTGCAAATTTGTTGTTATTCAATGTATTTTTGTATCTTTTCAGTCTGGGTTTAGTCAAGGTTTATCTTTTGGCACTGATGATTTCTCTCTAGAAGATTTAGATCCCTTAAACCATAAATAGATGATGTCTTGCCAGTATTCTTATACTCTTTATAATGGATGATTACTTTGTGACTAATTCTTCTGGACTTGTTTTTTTGCTGATCATTCTGTCTGAATACATGTATTCTCAATATCCACAAAAGATGTCATTTTAACATAAATGAAAACTATAGCAGAATTACCTTTAACTAATTTGATATAAAGTAGTAGCTTTGATGTGCAGCCGTAT